ACACTTTGAATTTATTTTGTATCTTTACTCTTGATGTTACTCAATGTCTTTCAAAACCTAAGTAGTTTCCCTACTACTTCTTGGAGCTTGGGAAATACTACTCATCCCTAAAAGCCCTGTTTCTTTTATCAAACTTTCATGAGCCCCTGAGAAGAATCAGTCATTTGTTCCTCTTAAATCTCAAAGCAAATTTGTTAACATAACCTCCTCTGACACTAAACATATTTTGGGAGTGACTTATGGTTATCACTACATATGGTTATGTAACTACCCCATTAATTTCAGAGATTAGAAGTCACCTTTTATCTTTCAGTCCCTTCATTACCTGCTGTAGTGCCTTAAATGAGGTATCACATGAATACATATCAAATGAACAAGTGGACAAATAGAAGAACATATGTAAGGCAAAGAAATATTTATTAGCATTTGCTTAATTATTTTTGCCCAACACTGGCTGGGTCAAAGAGGATATATATGTTAGAAAAAAATGAACTAGATAAGTATCAATTTTACTAATACTTCATTGTATTTTAAGATAACTCACTAAATAAATTTTCTAAAGACTTTTCTTTATAGTTGAGATATTGAACCCCAACTCACGGGGTTTTCTTCCTTTTCAATCCTTGATCTACCCATGGTGTTTTCCAAACCCACAGGGATGTTTTATCCAAAAAATTTCTTTAATCTTCCTGACTCCAAGCTTTACAATCAATGGTGTGCTATTAAATCATCTCTTCAAAAGAAAAATGCCTTGATTTTTAGCATTTCCCAATTCCATGATGTTAGTATTCTCAGTACTTCTGGTTTCAAGGACTGTTATGTTCAACAATTATCTTGCAGTATTCCCGAAAATTCAGCGGTCATGGCCTGTGAGCAGGTTTAACTAAATTATAACGGTTTTATACTCAATTTTCAACAATCTACTTCCAGAGCTACATTTTGGACCCAAGACTTTTCCTTTGAAATTTTAACTGAAATGTATTACGTTCCTACATAAATCTTTTGTCTCTGTCTCTCATGGTGCAACTTCTCAAACCTAGACCCCATGGTGAAATCTATGTACTAATTCACTCACCCTTCCATTGCCTCTTTTCTACAAAATTTCTATCTGGAGTCAATCCAATCTTCTGCCGTGTCCGTTACATGAGCAACAGAATGCTGCAAAATTCTGAGAAAATCTCACAGCCACATGCATTGTTGTGACAATGTGATTAATGCTTCTTAACATCAAATGAGACCTTCAACTTTTCTAGGAATTCCTGTGACATGGCCCTGAAGCATTCCCCTTTCTATTCCCTCTGATAATTTATCTAAACCTGTCATAACCTCTTTCCCCTCCTGCATCTGTATCATAGCCCCTATCTTATAGGTGAGCATTTCCTGTTCCTGCAGACAACCACAGAGAAAATTACGTTAATGGGGTATGAAAACCCAACTTTTCACTCCAGTATCAAAAAGTCACAGTTGTTTGCAAGGATACTTACCTTATTCCTGAAATTTCAGAAAGGAACTTGTCCTTTCTCATTTCAAAGAATGTCTCTCCTTTTGTCCTCTCAACTACCTATTCTTTCTCTTCTGCAACGTCACTGCATCACATGTTCTCCATCTGATAAATCTGCAACTTCACTATCACAACTTGTTCCTTTCCTGATAACCTATAAACATGTTTCAATTTACCTTATTAAATTAAAAAAAAATCCTTACCCAACCAGCCAGTAAAAATAAAATCTTTTTCATGACAAAATCTTCCCTTGACCAATCTTTGCCTTTTCATTCCAGTTCGTTAACAAAACAGTCTGTTTCCTCTGCCATATTCACCCTTTCATTCATGTTTATTAAAAAATTAATATACATATAGGTAAGTTTTAGAATGCCAATATAAAGATGACTACAAAGCAAAACAACAAAATATTAACTGTCGTCCTACCAGGTGGCTCTATCATTGGCATTTTGGCACATTTCCTTCCAGTCTTATTTTTAAACCAGTTGTGTGTGTGTTGTTTTCAATGTTGGAGTTAGATTTACAGAATTAATTTTGTTTTCATTTATTGTATCATGGACAGTGCTCAATTTTATGAACTTCTCTTTAAAAACATGATTTTTAGTGATTGCATTATATTTTAGTGAACAAATGAACCTAATTTACACAACTATTCATCAATACCATTCACTGAAGGACACAATGAAATTAGGCTTCAATGTCAACTGCTTCACTAAATAATTACCTCCTATTTCCCAAATTTAAAGGGGTCATTTCTTTCCCCATCTTACTTGAAGTTTTTGCAACAGTTGAGAGTATTATACAGATTCCTTTTCTCAAAACAGTTTCCCCTTACCTTTCATAATATGACATTTTTTATTATCGTTTTCATCCAATTTTTCTAATCATTTTCCTCAATGAAGTTTTCTTGTTCCTCTTCTTCACACCCAAGTCTTGAACATTTTTTATCCAAAGCATGACTAGAAATAACGATTGTACGCATGTCTGAAATGTCTGAATTGTAACAGTGATGGGTTTTTTTTCCCTAAATATGTGTTTGTTTACAATCCTCATAAGTAAGAAAAGTTGGGGCACCTGGGTGGCTCAGTGGGTTAAAGCCCCTGCCTTCGGCTCAGGTCATGATCCCAGGGTCCTGGGATGGGACCCCACATTGGGCTCTCTGCTCAGCAGGGAGCCTGCTTCCTCCTCTCTCTCAGCCTGCCTCTCTGCCTACTTGGGATCTCTCTGTCAAATAAATAAATAAAAATCTTTAAAAAAAAAAAGTAAGAAAAGCTTTTTCCACTGGCTTATTATTTAGATACTCAAAATGTCTGGGTTATACCTTTGAGAAGGATGAAGAAGGACCAATATAATGGTATTCTTGAATCAGAAGAAACAGATCAGATTCAGAATTCAGGTGAAAAAGAACCTTTGGCCATAAACTGGAGGTGGGAAACGTTATACTTAGATTATCTCTGACTGAGCAAGTCACATTATTTTCAATAGGCAGAGAAAAACACACTCCCATTTATATACCAAATCATCAATTTACCAAAATGTAGCTCGAGGAAAAAAAATTTTTGGCCCTCTTCTACAATAAGTTATTTGATTTGTAAAATACAGTTTTTTATAATCATGTTATCACTGAAAAGTAGTGAAATCAATTTGGCTTTTCTTCTTTGGGTCAGCAGGAAGTTCTATCTCATTTTCCTCCAGGTAGCTTTTATGACAGATATTAATCATATAAATATGTCTTCTTTTTCAGAGCTACAAAGGCTCAGTGTTCCACAACACTGGCTTATTCTCTACAAGGTGCCCAGGCAGAATATTAAAAGCAAAACAATTTCATTATACTGTGTACTTTATGTTACAAGTAAAATCTCAAGACAATCTTACTATCAAGATGAGGTTTTTATAACAAAACCATTCTGATGATCTGTTATCAGTTATAATAGTTTTTTGTTGAGTTGGTCAGGGAAGGTTCTTTGGTCCTAGCTCTTACAAGACTCAATGTGTCTAACAGTATGCTGTTTATACTGTAGGTAGAGGAGAGATGAAATCCTCACACCTGATATCTATAGAGCATTTTCAACTTTTACAAACTGGATTATCATATTTTACCTCATTTGCTTTCATCTTCAATTTGAGAAACACATTAGAAAGGTAGTTGTTATTTTCATTGAGCAGATTGAGAAATTCAGCTAGAACAACTGGCTTGGCTTGCTAAATTTGAACACAAACTCAAATCCCATGACTCCTAACCCAGATAGTATTTTCATCTACTAGTACTTAATTTGATTTGTCATTAAATAACAATTACTTTTTCCTTTGATTCATTCCAACTCATCTCACATGCCTCATATATTTTCTTTCAGATAAAAAAGGACAGAAAAACTGTATACACAGCAGCACATTTTCCCCCTACTGACTTCACACACTTTTATTTGCTGAGTCTCATTTGTTTCTACTCTATAACACATATCCCAAAATTTAATTTCTACCAACATAATAACAAAAATCTATTCAGTGAACCAATTCTGATGTACAGTGGAAAAAGTAACTATGTCATGAAAATCATTTTTCTACAATGGATCTTAGTTTCATGTATACACACACACAGAAGTAAAAATACTTGTTTCATAGGGTTATTGAACAGAGCTACTGCCAGCCACATACGTGCCCTAGTCAAAATTACGTAAGTGAAGACAACTTTCTCTCCAGACAGCTTTCCCTTTCCTTCCCTGTCTTCATCCCCAAAGACACCAAGTACTATTGATTCTATGCCATGAATAGTTCTGTAATTTGTCCTTTCTCCTCCATCTTCACTAATTTTGTCTTAGTCTAGATCTGTACCATGTTACTGCACTTACTATAAATTATATCCTGTTTCCAGTCTTGTCAATTTCAATTTAATGAGGCTTATAGAGAATGAGTTCCAGTGACAGTTACAACCACTAAATACTTGAGTTTCCTTGAGATACCTGCATCCCTACTTTTCAATGCATCTTTGATGCATGTGACTACTTCAGGTGGACAGTCTTCATTGGGTACAGATAGTTCTTAAGACTCTTTAAACACCTACTACATTTTACTTCAATGTGCCAATATCTATAAATAACAGTAAAAACCAATCAAAGGTATAAATGGAGGCTAATAGTCTCGAGAGAAGTCAACCAAACTCATTTTTACCAGGGAGCATCTGAAAGGGTAAATCCTAACTTTGCTTATATGGAGAAAGTCCTATAAGTCCCAGTACACTTTCAGAAAATTTATGTGTCCTCATTGAGAAAAAGATCATTCCAGATAGGGTGACTTCATTCCATGAAGATGCCTACTGACGATCCAAGTTATTTTACAGGGTATGTTTCCCATGAACTTTTAGCTTTCGCCCATTATACTGTAAGATATTCCCTAAGAAGTGCCTCCTGCAGTGAGATTCCAAGAATATCTAGAATCCAAAGTCTGTTGAAAATGTAACTCCCATAAGCTAGTAGGAATCTGAAAATCCAAAAATACTTACACCAAAGTTGGTAGCAGCAAATCGATCTGAGGCAGAAACTTGCACGTTTGTTGAAACTGTTGTGTGAGCATAGAAAGCATTTATATTTGCCAACAAGGTGCTCATGACAGCAGGGACGCCAGGGCACATGTATTTAGAAGACAGACATGAAAAGTGCCTACAAGACAAAAACATTAAGCACTCTTAAAACACAAACCAATTAATTCATGTAACAGCGCACCCTCTAATGCCAGTGATTACTTCCTTAACTACATCTACGAAAAAGAACAAAAACTCCCACAATCTCCACTACATGAAAGAGAAAGCGATTTCAGCTTTTAAAAATGTGTCATTCATAAATGGGAGGTGGTTTAATTAGAATGTGACTTATCCCAGGGATGAGTGCATAATTCAACTGTGGGAGTGTTGTGTGTACACATCCAAAGTGCAATTTCCAATGGAATCCAGCACCGACGGAAAGCAATTCCATGGGAGTCTCCCGTTCTCCAGCAACTATGCCGTCACTTACTTCAGTTCCCCAAATGCTCTATTTCAACCAGAATGCCCTTTCATTCTTGTACTCCTATCACATTGATGAACCAAGAGGCTCTCTCTTTTTTTTTTAAAGATTTTATTTATTTATATGACAGACAGAGATCACAAGTAGGCAGAGAGGCAGGCAAAGAGAGAGAGAGGAGGAAGTAGGCTCCCTGCTGAGCAGAGAGCCCGATGTGGGGCTTGATCTCAGGACCCTGGGGTCATGACCTGAGCCAAGGTCAGAGGCTTTAACCCACTGAGTCACCCAGGCACCCTGAGGCTCTCCTTTCTTTGCAAGTTTACTGAACAAGTGAACTTAACATCTGACTTGAGTCCAGTTTCTGGAATTTTGTCATCAGAATACCTTCCAGAAGCAGTTCGGCTTTCCTGCCATTTTGCTGCAACCAGGATTTAATAAGGCAAACGGATGAATAGTGAGGACAGATTGAATTATGCCAGCTCAATGCTTAAAGACCATTTCTTTTAAACCCTGAATAATAGTATCATTCACAGACATCAGAAGCATCCAGTGTTCAGTTTTGTTACTTCTCTCAAGAAAACCTGTTTCATTTGAACTATAACAAAAGAGTTGAAAATTGAAAGCACATCTTATGATAAAAGTGAGAAGATAAAATACAGAGGAAAGAAATTTTCAGTATGCGATCTGATGCTATTTTGTTCTCCTATGTCAGTAATTTTTCCTTCACTTAGGCATCTCTGAATTCCATATTACTAAACCCAATCACAGAATGAACAAACATAAATAAATGCTCTGAATGACACCTCAAAAGAAATGGATGATGGTCCTGGAAATGGTGGCTTTTCTTAGATTTTAGCTATGCCACTCATGCAGCTTGTCGCGATACTAGCTGATAAAGATAGGTTAAAGTTTTAAACACGGATCTTTGAGGATTATGAATTACAAAGCCTGCCGTGGGAGTTGCATGATGTTTTGCTATTTAACCCTAGAAATACATTATCACGGATTGCTTCCATTAGGTAAATGATACCTACTTTGACTTTATTATATACTAAATTAATTATATCTGTTAAGAATATCACAAATAATATAAGGATATTAAAAATAGAAAGCAAAATCTTTTTTTTTTAATTTATTTGACAGATCACAAGTAGGCAGAGAGGCAGGCAGAGAGAGAGAGAGAGAGGAGGAGGAGGCAGGCTCCCTGCTGAGCAGAGAGCCTGATGTGAGGCTCGATCCCAGGACCCTGGGATCATGACCTGAGCCGAAGGCAGAGGCTTTAACCACTGAGCCACCCAGGTGCCCCTAGAAAGCAAAATCTCTTAACACTATGTATCTTTTTTTTTTTTTTTTGAGCAATTCACAATAATAAAATTTGTTAGACCCAAGTTAGAGGTTAAGAGTCGTGGAATATGCAAGACCTAAATGTAAATGTATGGGGGATGGCACAAGGAAAATATACATACCTAGGGGGAACAAGAGTTATAGAAACATCAGTTGTCAAAATAAATTGGTAAGAAGCTCAAACACAAGAAGTTTATTATCCTGAACATGCTTTATATATTTAAAGGGATACTGGAGGTCACCAGGATGAACAATCTTGCTCTTGATTTATTAAAAAAAAAAAAAAAAAAAAGGCATCCATGTCTCCCTGATGCAACCAAGTGTTACCTAGTATTTAAATCTGGTAGCTGCCATCTTCTGACTTTTGGTGCCCTTGAGATTAGTAATGGTTTAGCAGGGACTTTAAGCAGAAATAATGGACAAACATAATAAATATTCTGAAGGTGCTTCTAGCGTGAATTCTGTAGGTGAAATTGAAAGTCTTATAAGGAAGATGACACAATTATTGAACAACGTTCATTGCTTATAAGGCATCTGAGAGGGAAAATGAGCATAATATGGGGAGACCAGGGATATAAACAAGCAAGCTTTGCCTCTTTTATACTTTGAGTTGGTAAACTTAGTGTTTTAATGATGAATGTTTTAACGTTTTAATGATGAAAATGCCCTACAAAATTGTGGCTTTGGGGGCTTTGAGAGATGTAATTTTGAGGTACCTAGTGTAACACAATCTTTGCTATGTACTTATCATTATGTTAATACATACTCATAAAATCAGAAAAGCAGTAAAAAATACACTGGTTTTCATACTTTAAAATTTTCTTCAAAAAACAATTCAATTTATAGCTAAATGGTAGGATTATAATACTTTCTCCTATTAGAACTGATTAGAAATAGAATTAGAATTGACTATAGTATTTTTCTATGCTTTAACCTTTCATTTTGTTTGTTCATTTTTTTAATCAAAGGCATCTGGCCAGAGTCCTCTCCCTTCAGTAACTACACATCTACTATCTTTCTGGAACTATTTTTTGCGACAGGAATCTAAAGTTGTTTAAAACATGCTCCTGGAGTAAAATATGTATACCCTAATCAAGAGGACACACATTAAAGACTAGTTTTCCCATGCAAGAGAAAGTGCTATTATAGAATTATGTAAAAGTTTTCATGCTATTACAGAGGTATCTATTGGATAGAGGAAGTCCGGAGGCCCAGAGATGGAGGACACAGGTTCAAAGGCTGATTGGAGCCCACTGGTGGTAAGCCCACAGAGGAGACATCAGAGGGAAATGTCTGAGTCAAGGTCTTGAGGATTAAAATTCATGTAATGGGGCGCCTGGGTGGCTCAGTGGGTTAAAGCCCCTGCCTTCGGCTCAGGTCATGATCTCAGAGTCCTGGGATCGAGCCTCACATCGGGCTCTCTGCTCAGCGGGGAGCCTGCTTCCTCCTCTCTCTCTGCCTGCCTCTCTGCCTACTTGTAATCTCTGTCAAATAAATAAAATCTTAAAAAAAAAACTTAAAAAAAATAAATAAAATAAAATAAAATTCATGTAATGGCTTTACAGAAGAGTAAAGAGTTTAGAGTCCCTAGAATTTGGTCCAATAAATATATATTTTTAATATCTTAATTTTATTTTATTTTTTTCAGTGTTCCAAGATTAATTGCTTATGCACCACACCCAGTGCTCCATGCAATATGTGCCCTCCTTAATACCCACCACCAGGCTCACCCATCCTCCCATCCCCCTCCCTTCCAAAACCCTCAGTTTGTTTCTCAGAGTCCACAGTCTCTCATGGTTCATCTCCCCCTCCCATTTCCCCAAATTCACTTTTCCTTTCCTTTTCCTAATGCCCTCCATGTTATTCCTTATGCTCCACAAATAAGTGAAACCATATGATAACCGACTTTCTCTGCTTGATTTATTTCACTCAGCATAATCTCCTCCAGTCCCATCCATGTTGATACAAAAGTTGGGTATTCAACCTTTCTGATGGCTTCATCTGGGAAAATTGGACAGCTATGTATAGAAGAATGAAACTAGACCTTCTCTCACACCATACACAAAGATAAACTCGAAATGGATGAAAGACCTCAACCTGAGGCAGGAATCTATCAAAATCCTAGAGGAGAACATAGGCAGTAACCTCTCCGACATCAGCCACAGCAACTTCTTTCAAGACATGTCTCCAAAGGCAAAGGAAACAAAAGCGAAAATGAACTTTTGGGAGTTCATCAAGATCATAAGCTTCTGAACAGCAGAGGAAACAGTCAACAAAACAAAGAGGCAACCTACGGAATGGAAGAAGATATTCGCAAATGACACTACAGACACAAGGCTGATATCCAAGATCTATAAAGAACTCCTCAAACTCAATACTCAAAAAACAGAAAATTACATCAAAAAATGGGCAGAAGACATGAATAGACACTTCTCCAAAGAAGACATACAAATGGCTAACAGACACATGAAAAAATGTTCATCATCATTAGCCGTCAGGGAGTTTCAAATCAAAACCATATTGAGATACCACCTTACACCAGTTAGAATGGCCAAATTCAACAAGACAGTAAACAACAAGCGTTAGAGAGGATGTGGAGAAAGGGGAACCCTCTTACACTGTTGGTGGGAATGCAAGCAGCCACTTTGGTCTAATAAATATTTATTCTAAGTGTAAGATACTGTGTTAGGCACTGGATATATATTAATGAATCCACTTACAGACAAATGGGAGAATTAGCCACACAAGAAATGTAAAACAATTATGCAAATGTTATGAGAAAGAAAAGCCAAAGAGAGTGCTAGAAGAGTAAGTTGGAGTGTGCATATTGTGCCCTGGTGGGTCTCAAACTGAGACTGGGCTAAGAGTTAATGCATGACCCAGAAACAGCCAAACCCAGCATAGAGCTTGCTGTCACTGATACGTAAAAGATATATTTCAGAGGAATAGAGGAGTAAAAACCAAGGCACAATGGGGAAAAGATATTGTGTGCAGTGAACCCTAGCAATTTTAGGTTGGTAGAGCCCAAATTTCCCAGAGAATACCCTACACTTGGTCTGACCAGAGACAACGTTGGGGGTATGTAGGAGAGTCTCGTGAAATAAGTTAGGCAAGTTGGACCTATTTTCTAGACCAAAGGACTTTTTCACACAAAATTCAAAGTCTTAGAGTGAGTTTAAGTAAAAACAGTATCTCCAAGGAACTTTAGCTTTTTACATGGATAGAAAGTACCATCATGAGAGTTGAATTTAAATAGAGTAACTTGGTAGGAAGGAGACTTTAGGAGAATGGGTTTAAAGAAGGTGAGACAGGGGCAC